GCGGCTCTGTAGTTGGTGACTGCGGCGCTGCCGCCTGCGGATCCTCGGCAAGAGCGGCAAGCGGACCGCTAACGTACGGGAGCAGCGCTGACAGTTTCAAGGTGAGCGTGAAAAGCAGCTTCTTCACATCCAGTGAAATGAAATCTTTGTCTCCGCACTTGTACACGTCGTAGCAGATGTCCGCAGGCCGCGCCAAATTTAGCTCTTGGCCTTCAAACTCGTGCGTTCCCACGAAAGGGTGCAGCGACTTAACAGCAGGCAGCATTGCTACAACGTCGCCGTCGCAGAACTTGATTGCCGCATACAACAGCAAATGCGCAAACTGGAAAAAAATCTGGAAGTTGCGCGCGCTGCCCGCTGTGGCCGACTGCTGCAAGTTTCGCAGCCGCGCGCCAAGCTCGAACAGGTAGTGAAGGGCGTCAGGTTGCAGCACTTGGTAGCGGTAAGCTCGAAATGCAAGATACTCTGGCGCTTCCAACGCACTAAGGTTCGCACTGATCTCGCCTAGCCGTCGCACCGTCGCGAACGCAACTTCGAGCTGCGCCAGTCGCAACAAATGAGGCGCGGTCTGCAGCGCTTTGCGCGGGTTAGGCATGAAGAACACGAACAGCGCGTTCCGGTAAACGTACTTGTACTCAATACGACGTTTCCTCAAAGCAATGCACCACGGTTTACAAAGTTTGCTGAGCTTCTGGTGGCAAAGGTGCGTCGCGTAATTCAGGCTGCAAAAGCGTCGCAGCAAGCACAGCACACTGCTCGAGTGCAGCTTGTCAGGGCCTTTCTTAGCAGGCCTAGAAAACCTCAGCACAGCAGCCGGTTCCATCTTGCCGAGAACCGTCAAGAACGCGTCATAAGCGCACAAGGGCCGTGCATGGTGCAAGAGAGCGTCGAGATAGCTGAGAAACAGATTGTACGCAGCGATGGCAGCTCTGTCGCTCGCATTCGGGTCTTTACAATCGTAGACTGCTTTGTGCGCGTCAAGAACCGTCGAAAGCTCACGCACGGTGAGCGGATCGATGTGAAAAGGTGCTAGCCTTGACATTGTTGCCACGCTGCTGCGGTAACCGCGCAGCTCAAAGCGAAACGCACGCAATACGCAGGACAACTTGTAATTTAATCTGCGTTCTCCTTCCATATTTTGAGGAAAGCAGCAACACATAGGCTTGCCCTTTCGCCGAGTCACTTCGCGGCGAAAGCCAACTACGCCTCTGGCGTTTACGTTGCGTTGCCAAAAGAATGAAGCCATGGTTTTCGCCAGTACTATCTGCTGATCGAATCTCTTGCTGCGTGCTTCGTCCACCATTGCGTGCTTACGCCTTTCAGAACCAGTCATGGCTATCACCTCAAACCGAGTGGCACGCTAAGTGCAGAGCACAGACTGATCGAGTTTTAATAAAAGGATTATTATCAAAAATCGCTTCCCTTGAGGATACGCAAAGGCAGCGTAATGCGTTTGGGCAAAAACGCGTACACTGCTTCATCCACTGCGATGCTCTTTAACTGCGAGTTTGAGAAGTTCATCTGGTGCCGTGTTTAACGCTCTCATCCCGATTATCACGACCAGTAGCCGCTTCCTCACGATTTCGCGTTTGGCCGCCGCGTGTCGCTCACAGGCCCACGCCTTTGCAGCGCTTTAGCTTTAAGCAGACTGTCACATTGACGGCGCTTCGTAGCGAGTTGCTCAGTATATGTCCTCTGCAGTGTCTCCACCTGTGAAGCTATCTATGAAGCTGCTTCTGAGCGTGCAGCTGTTGGCACTTCGCAACAGAGCCCACGTTGCGTGATCGCATTTCACCGGCCGACAGCAGTGCTTAAGGTCATCTTGATTCCGCTTTTGCTGACACAGTGCTGCGCGTCCAAACTCAGGCGAACTGCAGATTTGCCCTTCTGCGACTCTTGTGCGTTAGAGGCGCGTTGTGTTTGCTGCAGCAATCTGCACTTCGCGGCTGTATGAGTGTCTCTTTTTCTATTATGATCAAAAGACTCTGAAATTATCGCTATATCAGCGCGAGCTCGGCCGCAAGTAACAGCGATCTACTGCGCTCGTGTCTCTGGAGGCGCAAGGGAGTTCAACTCAGCTACGAAAATGTGATGGCTGTGGCGTCCGCATTGGTTCGCAAGCACTCTAGCTCGAGTACCGACTGTGCAGCGCAACGCAGCGCGACGCCGCTCAAAAAAGATAGAGCGGTTGGCGCTTAAACTAAGCGGCAATGGTTGTGATGCCATGGGTAGCCGAAAACAATGAACAGCACGCGCAGCTATCAAAAGAGTCGTTGTCCGTATAAGTGCGAAACACGGGCTGATTTGCCGCATAACCGTTCAGCAGTATCCCGCAGCCAGACTCACAAAGTACATGCGCGAGTCACTTCCGCAATTAGCTATTGCGAATCGATTGAGCAAGTCGCTTTACCAAGTCGCTTTACCAAGTCGCTTTACCAAGTCGCTTTACCAAGTCGCTTTAGCAAGTCGCTTTAGCAAGTCGCTTTAGCAAATCGCTTTAGCAAATCGCTTTAGCAAATCGCTTCTAAGAGCCGGTTTTGCTAGTCGCTAATACAAGTCCATCATGCAAGCCACATTGCGGCTCGCGCTTCCGAGTTGCTGTCGTGCACCGAGAAAGCCGCGAAGCAACGGCTCGCTCCATAGGAAGGACTGCCCTTTGACGCTAGCCTCGACTGGAATCGTCTTTGTCGCCTTTGAGCACCTCGGAGATGGGGTTGACGACCTGGTCTCGAAACTTGTTGAGCGCGTCCAAAGTCTCCGCTACTTTCGCCTCGGTGTCTTCCGGGTTTTCGCCGTACGTGCAGTTCAGCACACCTCGTTCCTGGTCGATTTTTCCCAAAATCAAGCCGTCGAGAATGGCGTCGATCACGACGAACTGCGTCTCCTCGTCGCTCTTGCCGAGTTTCGAGGCCAACCATTTGAGGTCGACGGGGCGCTCCGACCACAAGCCGCGGTGCTTGTCGCTGTTCTCGGTCAGCGCCATGCTGACGAGCTGCGCCACGCGTAGCTTGTCTTCTGCAGAACTACTTGAAACCTGCGCCATCTTTGCAATTTTACTTGGACCGCCGGCGGAGTTGTTTAGCGAAAATTCGGGAAAGTAATCTCAATAAATTCGCTAAGCCGAGTTTCTCTTATAATAAATGTTGACCCTGCTCAGCGCCGCGCGCCGAATTTGAACTTCCGGTCGCGACGGCCGTAGCACGGATTTAAACGACTCTTGCGTCCGCTCGGTTGTACTCCGTTATGTTTTTTTCCAATTCGTTGCACAACTCGCTTTCGTCGAACTCCGGCGACACGGCGTTCACCTGCTCCTCGAAGCTCAGCGACCAAATGGTTCCGGCGAGCACCGCGAGCATCAGCACACATAAGCCGAAGTGGAATCGTGCGACGAAGATTGCAGCGAACTCAGCGAACCCTGCGAGCGTGTAAAGGAAAAAGTTCACTGGGGCATGCCAGTCGTTGGAGCCTTCGTCGTGGTAGATCTCGAGCAAGAAGAACGCGAGCGCCGTCAGAATAAGTGCCAGCGCTTGAATCGTGCGCGCCGATGCGTAGAAGATCCAGTCCATGTGCCCGACTGAAAAGTAGGTCCAGTATTCCGGCGTGTAGTTGTACAAGAAATTGCACGCCCACGCCAGCTGCATCGCACTGCTCACTATGTCGAAAACTGTTGCGTAGGACAAGATCTTGCTACCCGCGCGGTAGCCGCGAGACCACGCCGCGTCGTCCGACAAGCCGCCCTGGAAGATCGCAACAAAGAGACTGCCCATGAAGTACATCAAGCTGCCGAGCATAAACGCGTTGCGGTAGTTGCGGACGCCGCGCACTTCTTCTGTTGTCCCCTTCAAGTCCCACGTGAACAGGCCGCTGCCGCCGTAGGCATAGTGCGTCGTAAACAGCAGCAACAGCGATCCCAGCTTCATCAGCTGGCCCATGCGCAGCGAACCTCTTTGACCGCAACACGTCAAATAGTTCGTCCAGCGGCACTGGTCGAACACTTTGCGATGCTTTTCGTCCGAGTCGAATCCTTCGTGTCTAGTCGCTACCCACATTTTGCAATACGAACTTTGCACGTGCACCTTAAATTCAGATCCGTGGTGTTGGTGCACTACAAAACGCCTTACTGTTTCGCACTAGTTCGCGATACTGGCCGTTGGCAGCGCTCCCGCATTTCTGCTGTCTGCAGTTTGCTTTTCGGCAGATCCCAAAAGACGTAGATTTTGCGCACGGCGTCGACGCGGTCGCCGCACCGTTCTCTTCAAACTGATACGCGGCATCTGGTCGACCGCTGGCTAAAGCATCGGCAGCCCCGACAAGGGGTCCACCGCCATGTTGCAAACAGTCGAAACGGTCTTCATCGACTCCCAAACAGCGTCTACCAGGTTCAGCAGCGCGCCGTAGAGCTGGTAGGGCATCTGGCCTACGTTCGGTCCGTCGAAACTTACACGTGTAGGAGAAGTTCGCGAGCACGCAGAAGTGCACGGGCCCCGCGAAAATGCACGCGCACATCACCATCATGACGTTAGAGAGCACGTTAGTGACGCCCGTCATCACCGAGTAAATCGACTCCAGCGGCTTCCGCACGTTCGCGCACATGCTCATCCGCTGCGCAATCGCGTCGCACTCGCTCTGCGTCGAACACGGCGTGCCGTCGCCCTTCACGGCGTACTGCATCTCGTCAGCGAGCTTCAGCAAGCGCGCCTTGCTCTGTCGCGCACGTTCGAACTGCGAGGTGAGACTGCGTGTCACGGCGGTCAAAAACGCGTCGTCCTCATTAGCAAGCCCATGCTTTAGCACGTCGCCACGCGCCACTTCGCGCCACACACGGAACTCCACGCTATCGACGCCGAACGCGCGCGAAATCTGCGTTTCGACGACATTGAACGCTATCTAGTTTTTTTTCAGCACATACTGCGCAAGTGCTCGAACGCACTAACTGCGGCAACGAACAAGATATAGAGCATTGAAAAACGATATTTTCGCGATTGCGCAGCTTTGCGCTGCTACTCGTTTTCGCGGCTCACTTGCTTCTTTGCGAAATGCGAGAACACCTGGTCGAGCGTCGCCTGCGTCACCGAGTAGTCCGCAATGTCGAGCTGCTCCTTGTGTTGCTCGATCTGCGTGAAGATCTTTCCCAGCGTAATCCCGTCCAACGAGACCTGGTATGTCAGACGATACGAGACTTCTTCCGTCTGCTCGATATTCGGCGTGATATTTGCGTGCAACCAACTGAGCAACGCGGCGCGCTTCGCGCCGCGGATTTTGCCCTGGAACAGCAGCGAAGACAGCAACTCGATCTCGAGAATCACGCCCTGCCCATATTTGTTCTTGATCGCCAAACAGGTGTTCAGGCAGCGCAACTCGCCGTTGATCAGAATGCCGACGCGCGTGCACAGCGTTTCCGCCTCTTCCATGTTGTGCGTCGTCAGCACAAATGCGCGGTTCTTTCTTTCTTTCTGAATCAGCTGCGACAATTTTCGGCGACCTGCCGGGTCGATGCCCGAAGAGGGCTCGTCGAGCAGCACCACGTCGGGATCGCTCAAGAACGCCGCGCAGATGCTAGCACGCCGCTTGTTGCCGCCCGAGAGCTGCTGAATGCGCTTGTGCGCGTGCGTCTGAAGTTCCAAGTCGTTCATCAAGCTGTTCACGCGCGTGCGGAACTGCTCTTCGGACAGGCCGCGGATCAGCGCGAACGTGCGCAAATTGTCGTAGATCGACACATCTTCGATCAACATGTCGGTCTGCGGGACCACCGCGATGTAGGGGAAAACTTCTTGGGGCTTGCTGTTCACGCTGATGCCGCCAATCATGATGTCGCCGATCGGCGGAGCCATCATGTTCGGGTGGTACATCAATGAGTTCAACGTTGTGCTTTTGCCGGCGCCGTTCGGTCCGAGGAAGCCGAGTATGTCGCCGCGGCGCACCATCAGACTGATGCCGCGAACACACACGTTCGGTGCCTGCTCCGCCATCGGCGAGGCGTACAAAAAGTAGAAGTTCTGGATGAGCACCAGCGGTAGGCGGTCTGGCAGCTGCAGTCGCGGCGTGTGCGGAAGCGGCGCGTTGGCCAGCTGCGCCTGGTACCGCTCTGCTACGGCATCGACGAGCTGCTCTTCATGCAGCACGTCTTCATCTTTGTGCGTCTGAAACTCAATCGGCAGGCTGGACTGATCCATGCCGCGCTGCGCAAACTGCTCGAGCGCCGCCTTGCGCGCGGAAATCCAGCTCTGCAGGTACGACGTGACGTTCTTCAGCGGTGACCTTCCGCCATACGCGCGCGCGTCGATGTACAGAATGATGCCGCCGTAGACCAGCAGTTGAAACACCGATCCGAGCATCACCCAAATCAGGTTGTTTTCGAAGCTGTAAAACTCATCCGGGCGTGCCAAGCGCCGCTCGGCCGTGGCCTTCGACAAAATCATCGCAATCGCGATCAGCGAGCCGATCGGCGCGTATGGCGCAATCAGCATCGAAGCCACGCGGTGGATCACGATCGAGATCTGCCGGAAAGGGATGCCCGCGATCTGCAACTTGTAGTCGAAGAAAGTCGAGACCAAGTAGGCCGGCGTCAAGCACGCGACCATTGTGCTCAGCTGCATCCACAACGCGTAGGAGCGCCCGCGGTTGAAGTAAAAGGTCCAAAAGTAGCCGTACACCAACATGGCGGCGCTGTAGAAGAACATGCTCAGCATTATCGCGGGAACGCACCAAATGTGTTTGCGATAGAACGGCACGAAGTAGACGATGCCCAAACTGATCAGCAAGCTATCCGAAACCATCAGCATCCAGCCTGACAAGAAGGACGCGATCCAGTACACAGAAGGTTTGCAGCCCATGACGATCAACGCGTGCTTGATGCACGCAAACTTCTCGAACATGATCTCGCTGCCAAACTTGTGCGGCAGATACGTAGTCGCGTAACACAGCAGCGTGTACAGCACGAAGGTCAGATCTGTGATGAAGATCGGCGCAGTCTTAAACAGTGGCGTACTCTTCGCTCTGAAGGTGCGCGACTTGTTGCGCGCGCTCGTACCTTCAGCGCCGCTCTTCCGGCTCAACTCGCCGTTCACCGCTTCAGAAATTGAGTTCAGGAACGACGGGAAGGCGTGCACGGCATACGGGTTCCACAAGTAGCGCAGCGTCAAATGCTCGGCGTCCAGAGGCAACTCGGAAAAGACCAAGTCTGGAGTCAGAGCCGCCTCCTGCGGCTCAACATGCAGCGCGAAAGAGTAGAAGTTCTGCCAGCGGCCGTACACGTCAGGCTCGATGGTGCGCAGCAAGAAGTTGCGCAAGTATGCGCCCTTGCGCTTGGACTGCTCGACGATCGGCAGCATGTCGAACACGTAACAGTACTGCTCGTCCGTAAAGACTGTCTGTGGCGTAAACTGCGGCGGCGTCGTCTTCGGCCGGTGCATGAATTCATAACGCGTCACCGGCTGCGGCGGCAGTTTCAGTTTGTAGCAAGTTTCCGCGATGCGCGTGGCCAGTGCGACAACCTCAGCCTGACAGACCGCGGGCGGCGTGTCTCGCAAGCCGCTCACACTCATGCACGGATGCAACGGCATCAACTTCTCCGAAAACGGCAGCGCCTCCAGCAACGCGGCCGCGCGCTGACGCCCCAGCGAGTTCAGCCGGAAGTCAACGAAGTAGGGGATCGTCGAGTTGATGTGCGCCGTGTAGTCCGATAAGTCGATCTTCATTGCGGCCTCGTCGACAAAGTAACCGATTCCGCCAGCAGCACCGCGGCTGAGTCCGGTGCCGATCAAGAACAGCAGCGTCGGCAAGAAGACGTTCACCAAGATGAAGTACTTCTGGTGAAAAATTTGCGAGTAGCGCAGGTAAAGCATGCCCTTGAAGGTCTGTCGCCAGCTGACGCGCTTGCTGCCGTCGAAGCGGTCTGCGAGGTAGTTCGGCTGCGACTGGTCCGTGCTCGTGCTCGCGCTCGCGAACTCCACGACGGGCTGCTCTTGACGCGGCGCCGCCAGCGCAAGCGAGTGGCACTGCTCGGCGATTGCAGACTTGCTCTCCGTTAACTCGACATCAAAGTCTCCGTCGACCGCGATTTTAAAGAAGATCTCTTCAAGCGATGAAGTGGTCACGGCGTACTCGTCGATCATCAGCTCCGCCTTCGCCTCCTCCAGCGCGTGCAGCAGATCTCCGATCAGCGGCTTGCAGCTCAGCGCGATGACGAAGACAATCAAACCTGCGTTTAGACTGTTCGACACGCGTGTACCGCAGACAGAGTCGGCGGTCAGCTTTTTGGCTTGCGGGATGCGCGCTAGCACCGCTTCAGTTACCGCTGCATGCGCCTGCATCGCCTCTGCTTGTGTGATATCCTTGAGCAGCTGGATTTCCAAGTAAAAGCCGACGCCGAAGTTCTTCTTCAGGAACGAAGAAGAGCCAACGCAGCAAATCTTGCCCGATGTCATCAGCGCCTTGCGGTCCGCGAGAATGTCAGCTTCTTCCATGTGGTGCGTGGTCAGCACGATGCAGCGACCGCTCTTGCGCTCGTTCTCGATGACTTCCCAAATACGGTGGCGGCCCACTGGGTCGACGCCGGACGTCGGCTCGTCGAGGAACACAACGCGGGGCTCGTTGATCAGCGCAAACGCGAGCCACAGCCGACGCTTCTGCCCACCAGACAAGTTTTGCGGGTACTGGAACAGGAACCGTTCGAGCTCAAAGTTTATGATCATGTTCAAGATGCCCTCCCAGCAAGTCGTGTCCAGTTTTCTGTTCGAGCCGTCCACAAGCCCGCCGGCGCTGGCCAGCTCGCGCACCTGATCGAGTTCTTCGCTGATGTCTTCCGCGTAGTTGTCGCAGTTCTGCAGCCGCAGCAACGGCTTGCGCACATTGACGCAGCGCAGCCCTGCGAGCAGCACCAAGTGCTCAATCACCAAAAAGTCGTTGATGAAAATGTTTTGCTGCGGACAAATCGAGATAAATGAGCGCGCCTCGTCTGGGTGTTTCAAAATCGAATAGTCGCAGATCGTGGCGTCGCCACCGTCAGAGGGCAGCAAACCGATCAGCATGTTAATCGTCGTGGTCTTGCCCGCGCCGTTGTGCCCGAGCAGCGCGAAAATTTCCGAGTAGTACAGGTCCAGGTTCAACTGGTTCACTGCAACCTCCTCGCGCCCGTCAACATGGAAGACTTTCAGCAAGTCGCGGATGACGACCGCCTTGCCTTTCTCCGCGATCTCTGGCGGCACCGGTTCGTGCGATGTCGACTCGAAAGCAATGTTGCTCAGTTTCGTGTGCGCGAGCGACTCGTAGTCGTTCTTGCGGTGCAAACACGTCCGCTTCACCCAGTTGGAAATACTGCGCAACGGCCACAGCAAGCCGCGGCTCGTGCCGTATTTGTCGCGACGCACGCCACTTACGTACCAAGCCAAAGCCCAGTACATGAACGAGGTGAACACCAGCATCAGCAGGTAAAACAACTGGTAACGGCCGTCGGCTGAGAACAGCAGCTCGAAGTTCGAGGGCCGCATCGGCAACCCCGTGATGATGTCGTCCAGCAACAACGAGAAACCGACCGGCGACAGCAGCGAGAACGCAACCTTGATGAGACACGACAGGTGCGCGATCTTCGTCACCAGAATGCCGGCCACGTTCAGCAGCAAATGCACTCCCATGCTCGAAATGTTCGCGATGTCGAGGTCGTCGACGAACGCGGCTATCAGAAAGCCCATCGTCTGCAGCGAGAGCAGGTAGAAATAGAAGGCGACTGTGATGATGATGTAACTCGAGTCGGCGAACATGCTCGTCATGCGACAAATTATCACTGTAATGCCCGTGTACAAGAAATTCATGGACATCGTCGTCGCGAGCCAGCTGACCCAGTGCTCGTACTCATACACGCCGAAAATGCGGTAAATGTCCAGTAAGTTCGAAGTCTTGTCAATCACCATGTCGTACGTGCCGTTCATGATGAAGCGCGAAAACGCAAACAGAATGAACAGCGGCGTGTACTTCGCGAGCTGCGCGTAGTCCGTGTGCATCCCAACCGGCAGCGGAAACTCTTCGGCACTCACGCGCACAGTTGGAAACTCCAAACGGTTGTGCATGCTCTGGTTGATGCCGCGCGCGTCGAACCAGTCCGCCAGCAGCGCGGAGTGAAACATGTTTTTCCGCTGCAACAGTTCCTTGCGCGCGCGCAGAAACGCGCTCGCAAAGAAACTGTTCGAAAAGACGAAACCCGACGTGAAGTACTTGCCCGCGAGGCACTGCATCTTTGTGTTGTACGGCGCAAAGGTCAAGGACGAGAAGCTCTCCTTCAAGTAGCGGCAAGTCTCGGTGTGATTTTCCACCACGCCCTTGGTGGGAACTTCTTCCGAAAAAAACACGTACTCGATGTCCGCCTCGCCGCTCTCCAGCAAAAGCTGCTTTACGACGACTCCGAAAGCCAGCCGCTCATCGACGCGCATCGCGTCCTCCATCAACTTCGCCGAGTCGAAGAAACGGAAGTCTTGCTCGCCCACGGCACGCAACCAATCGACCTTGAAGTAGCGCAACGTATCGTACAGCAATTCGTTGTCCACGCGCGGGTTCTGCACCGAGTCGACCAGCTTCCGCAGCGAAAGACTCGACGTATCTGCCAAGTCGCGCAGCGCCGCGCCCTCCACCGTGAGCGCGATTGGGTGGTTCTTTATCAGCGCAGAGTGCGTGTGCAGCAGCAACTCGCTGCTCTTCGGCTGTGGGCCCGCCGGGTAGTACCAGTACTTGCGCGCCATCGCGAAGCGCGAGGCGCCCCAGCCGAACCAGATGAAGATCTGAAACAGCATCAACAAGAACTCGAATCTGCGTCGCCGCTTAATCGTAATGTTCTTCCATAGCATGAGCAGCACCACGTTTTTGCAGTGCGCCCAGGCGCTGCTGGCCCGGCCCTTATTGCGTGTCAGTGTCATATCGGTAGCCTCTCCAGCGATTCTCTTCTTGCCGAGAAGTCAAACGACGCAACGTAATTGGAAGAACCAAAAAATACGTTGAGCGATGCACCCAGAAAACCGCGCTACGCTGTTTAGTCAAAGCGTTTTCAGATTTATTTGCGTTTTATTAAAAATTCCGTCAACAACGACTCGAGAGAGAAACTGTGCATCGTAAACTTTTCCACCACTCCGGCCTCTTGCTTCCGCAGCAGCAGAGCTAGCAGAGCGCTCGGTCGCGCGCCCGCCGTGTCCACGCGCAGCCGCACTTCCGCCGCGCCGCGCAACTCGCGCGCGCTCAACATCCCCATTGCCGCCAGCTCCGCTTCGAGTCCCGCCAGCTGCGCCGGCACACTCTGTCCGAACAGCGCCACTGCGTACTTCTTCGCGAACTGCTTTTGCAGCGCGTGCGGCGCGTCGACAAAACGGACCTTGCCGCGCGAAAGAATCACCAGCTTATCTGCCAACAGTTCAGCCTCGAACGTGTTGTGCGTCGTAATCAGAATAGTGCGCGTACGCCGTTCCGCCAGCAACAGCGCGCGGACCTGCTGCCGCGCCGAAGGGTCCAGGCCCGCGAAAGGCTCGTCCAGCACGAGCACCCGCCCGGGCTGCAGCAGCTTGCACGTCAAACACACCTTGCGCTTCACGCCGCCGCTCAACTGTCGGAACTTCTTGCACAGATGCTCCTGCAAACCTAGCCGAAACACTAGCTCGCCGCAGAGCGACTCGCCGCCCGGACAACCAGCCATCCGCACAACGAGGTCCAAAATGTGCAAGACGCGCAAGTCGTGCCACGCGTCGTTTTCCTGCGTCATCACCGCCAAGTCTACGCTTACCGGCTCGCGCGGCGACAGCCGTCGCTCCGCCAGGTACAGCGCGCCAGCCAGCGGCCGCTCGAAGCCGCGCGCGCGCTGAATCAGCTTCACCAACGTCGATTTTCCGGCGCCGTTCTCGCCGAGCAACACCACGATTTCGCCTGCGCAGCATTGGAAGAACACGTGCCGCAACGCAAAATTGAGCTTTCTGTCTGCCGTCAGGCCGTAGGCGAAGTAGACCTGGTGCGCGAGCAGCCGCACCGCGCGTTGCGCCGGCGCGAGCTGCGCCGGCGCCGCCGCGTCGAACGCCGCACAGCGCTCCGCTTCGGCGCGCAACGCCTCGTCCGCCACCGGCTGTCGCGCGCGCTGCTCCGCAAGCCGCTTCGCCACGCGCCGAAGTTTCGCCGGAAAACCGCCCCCGTGGACGCGAGACTCCGCGAACACCATCAACGCCAGGTACAGCGCGCTGTGCGCCACGCTGATCGCTGCCAGCAGTTTCACAGTGTACTGCGGACGCATCAAGTCGCGCACGCGCATCGCGCGCTTCAACTGCTGCGCGTCTGCCAGCGCCGCCGCGAGCGCAATGAATAGCGCGATCGGCAAGTACTGGGTCGAGAGCAGCGCGCCTACAACGTGCACGTTACGCGCCGTGATCCGTCCCACCGCCGCACTCACCGCGCCCTGCAGCAGCTGCACGCGCTGCATTAGCAGCAGGATCGCCGAGCTGCACACGGTCGTCACGAACTGCGTGACAAACTGGTATGCCAACGAGGAGTTGCACCAACTCGCGCACGCGTACGCGAATAGCGTGAGCGCGCCCGCGAGCAGCGAAAGCAACCCCAGCATCGTCGCGAACGCGTTGAGCGCGCTCGCGAACAGCCGCACGTTGCGTATCAGCACGCCCACGAGCATGGCCGACTCGCAGAGAGCGACGCCGCCGTGAAACACGGCAGTGCCGACCCAATAAGCCTTCTTCGACAAACCCGTCTGTAGCAGCTTGAATTGATACCCGGATAACCGCTCCGCCAGCACAGCACTGCCGAAACTGTTCGGCGAGCTCGACAACGCGTAGCTGAGCGTCGCATACAGCAGTGCAGACGTCTTGCTCACGTCGGTTAGCGACCGCAGCTTCAGCGACTGCACGCGGAGCCGCATCGCGCTGTCCGCGTCGCGCAGCAAAGTGTCTAGTACCGTCGCCGCCACCGCGCTACTCGCGCCGTCGCTGTAAAAATCCGCCGTGAGTTGCGACTCGCTTTCGCCGAGCGGCCGCGACCCGAACACAAGCGCGCCGTCCAGCCGCTGCGCCTGTTTCCGATTCAAATACGTGCGCACCGGCTGCCGTTCAAGCGCAGCTAGAAACTGCGCAAACGTTGCGCCGTCTGAGCGCGTCTCGCCATCCAACTCCGCCAGAACATCCTCAAACGGCACTAACCGCAGACAGGCGGGCGCGAGCGCCAGGAAGCGCTCGACGCGCACCTCTTCCGCCAAACTCAGCGCGTTTTTCGCGAACGCGACCGTCGCAGGCGCTGCGCCTTCGCCGACCTCGTACGCGTTGCGATTGTTCAGCGCGCCGCCAAAAAACAGCGAAAAGTCTTCGTTACGGCTGCCCATTACGCGATACATCAGCAGAAACACCACCAACGGCGCTACGCGCTGCAGCATGAACTTCAGCTTGTTGTCGAGCACTTGGTACGCGCGCAGCCTCAGCATGTGCATCACTTGCCGAGCGAACGGCTGTGGGCGCACGGACGCCTCCGCCACGCACGCAGCGCTCTCGGCCACAAGCGCCTTAGTCGAAGCGCTCTTCGGGCGCTTTGCGCCGTGCTCGGCTTCCTCAGCAGCGCACGCGTCTGCGCACCGAAAAAACACCTCGTTAAGCGAATCGTGGTAAATCGCGAAGCACTCGATGCTCTGCTCGTCCTGCAGTTGCTCACACGCACGCACGACTCGCAGCAACGTTTCCGCTTCGCGGCTCGGCACCAGCAGCTGCGCGACCTGCGCGTTCAGATGCTTCACCACTGCTGACTTGCCCGCGATCTGTTTCAGCTTCTCCGCTACAGCAGCCTGCGCCGCGAGCTGCGCTGCAGACTCGTTGCTGCACGCACTCACTGCCGCGAAGTGCAGCTGCACGGCATACGTCAGTCCCAACTCCTCCTGCAGCCGCTGCGGCGAGCCGCTAAGCAGCACGGCGCCTTTTTGCAGAAACAGAATCTGGTCGGCCAACTCCTCCGCCTCGTCTACGTACTGCGTCGAAAAGATCAGCGTAACGTTCGAGTTGCGGTAGGCGCGGAGCAGCTCGACCACGAACCTGCGCCCAGTTATGTCCAACCCAATCGTCGGCTCGTCGAGCAGCACAACCTCCGGTTCGCCTATAAGTATCAGCGCCAGGTAGAACCGGCGCAGCTCGCCCACGCTTACCTGGCGCGGATACCGGAACAAGCAGTGCAGCAGCCCCAACTGCTTCATGAGGCAAAGCGCCAAGCGCCAGCTGTTGAACCAGCGCACCGCGCCGCTCTGCGGAAGCTCGAAGTGGCCTGCAGACTCAGCGTAGTAGATCTCGTGCTCGTACGCGCTCGGACTCTGCAGCTTCAAGTACGCCTGACCGACGTCGATGCCTTTGATTCGGGCAAACAGGCAGAGCGTTTCGATAAGCCGCAGAAACGCGGGCGGCTCGATTTCCTGCGGACAATACGCCACTGCCGGCTCGCTCTGCGCGCCGCCGCCGATCCGCACCGTTCCAGCGTCAGGCTGCAGCGTTTTCGCGAGCAGCGAGAGCAGCGTGGTTTTCCCCGTTCCGTTGTGCGCCAGCACGCAGCACACCGAGCCGCGCTGCACGGTGAAACTCACGCTGCGCAACACCGGCATTGGTGCGCCGTGTTGCGAGAAACTCTTGCTGACGCGAACGACCGAAACCATCGTCTTCTCTGCGAGCAGCCCCTCGCGAGCCTCAAACACTTCCGAGATCGAGCGCGCCGACGAGCGCTGCAGCGTACGGTAATTCTGCGCCGGCCGCCAGAGCTTCGCCAGCCAGTTTGCTGCGACAGCCTGTGCGCTGCGTTCCCCGCAGCCCTGCACTGCGCCGCTGCGGAAGCCCAACACCAGAACGCTTAGCGCGACGTACAAGACGTTGCTAAAGCAAAGCGCGAGCAACTGCAGCAGGTAGCCGTTCTGCTGCTCCCAGAACACGGTCCGCCAGCTGAACGGACGGAACGGGAACGCGCTGATTACCGCCTTCATGTAGTTCGCAAAGCCCAGCGGCGCGAACAGAAACAGCAGCAGGCTGCACGCGAGCGGGAGCTCGTCGATGTTGGTCAGCGCGAACACGCCCAGCTGGATCGCCACGCTCAGCATCAACTCCACAAAGCCCGTCGCTGCTGAGGAGATCGCGCAGCAGCCCAGCAGCGTACCCAGATTCAGCAACGCGCTGAGGTACAGCGCGAACAGCGCGTAGACGAGAGCGTAGCTCGACGCCGGAAACATGTCGAAGAACTTGGCGATCGCGAGCACTGGCACAGCGCACAGCGCGCCCAGAAGCGCGCTCATTTTAACCCACGCCAGCACGTAGTCGCGCGCGCGAACGCCATTCGCCGCGAACAGTTGGAACACACCGTTTCCCATTTCCGCAGCCACTTCACCCATGGTCAAGTACATCAGCCGCATGAACGCCAGCACCACGAGGTTCGGAACCACTCGCGCTTTCTGCGGGTACGTGGTCCAGGCCACCCGCGGCGACGGCAGGAAGTGCAGCGCGACCGCGACGCTGCGCGACGCTGCGTCCCGCTCCTCGCCGCTCAGCAGCTCCGCGCGACCATCACGAATCTGCAGCGCGGCGCCGCGCGCTGCTGCCACGTGGAAAAATAGCCCGGCTTCCGCGGCCCGCTGCAGCGCGCAAACCGGCTCAGGTTGGACGGCAGCGGCCGGTTCAAGCGCGTCTGCTCTGCTCAGCTGGCAGCCGACCCACTCCGCGAAGTCGCTTTCCTTCAGGTTGCTCATCGAGTGCAACGTCAGCTGAACAGCGCGTTCTGAGCCGGGCGCGTGGCCGATTGACACGGCGTAGAGTAGCTGCGAGTCGCTCGCGAGTTGCTGCAGCATGCGACTCTCCGAAGCAAACGTCTGCACTTCCAAGCGCAAGCTGCTACGCTGCACAAGTGCAGCGTATCGGTCGCGCACTGCGGCCAGCAGTTCTGCGTCCGCCGCTGCAGAGTCCGCCAGTGCGAGCGCGATGGTCTTGCGCTCCAAGGTCCGCGGCTGCACGAGCGGCACCAGTTCCGCGCTCCGCAGAGCGGTCACCACTGTGAGCGCGGCGCTATCGGCGCGCAAATGCGACGCGCTCGAACCGAACCAGACCAGAATCTGCAGAAAGATCACCAACAGCGAAAAGCGGTCGCGCCGTCGCACCAGCAACTGTCTCCAAAAGAGGAGCTGCGAAACACTCGGGGTGCTCCCGGCTGCGCGCAGACTGTCTTTCGTCATGGCTGCGCCGTCTAGGCCGCGTGTAATCGGAAACCCCGCGGTTTCCAAGCGATCAGCCTCTCTCTGAAACACTTGATCTATTTAACATGCAAAAAATAGCGCCGACTGCGCGGCGCAGCAACGCGCGGCCGCGCGCTCAACTTTTGCTGTACGGAAGCGAGACGCGGAAAACCTGCTTAGATGCTTTGATCTCGCAGTCGAAAATGACGAGCTCGTCCGTCACGTAGAGAGTGATCGGCGCGGCGTTGCGCGACTTGCTCGCCAGTTTCATGATCATCGTGAACGCGGCGAACGCGGAGCAGAGCCGCAGCTCGAAACTCCAGAAGTGGTGCGCTTCGTCCGCGCTCTGCGGCGGCAGAAAGTTCGGCTGGTACATTACGGTCTCGTACATCTCCAGTGCGTTTTGCACACCGCCGAAGCTGCAAACTTCCAGCGCGACAGAGACTTCCTCGTAAGCCGTGCGCGGCCAACGCGCGAACGCGAGCTTGTCGAAGCACAACTTGAGAAATACGCTTTCGGTCGCGCCGTCGCTCATCGGGCGCAGCCACCAGTAGACCAGCAAGTAGTCGAAGCACTTCAGCACCAGCGCGCAATCGAACTCTGCGGAGTACTCCACTTTCTCGCACTCCTCCGGAGTCAGCAGCTCGACCTCCTGCGCAGTCGCCAGACTCGCGTGGCCGACCAGCGCCGTTTGCTGCGACTGCAAGCGCAGCTGCCAGCCGCCGCCGAAGTCGACCACGGTCAGCAACGCGCCTTCGCGCCGCAGCACGTGCGGCTTCAGCGTCTGCGCGAGCTTCCGCGCGGAGCCCCAGAGGCCGAGGTTGCCCGACGCGCCCTGCCGCAGCGCCAACGCAAGCCCGCCGAACAGCAAGTTGTCGCGGAGACTGACGCTCGGACTGCACGCGCAAAAGCTCACAGTGCTCAGAAACAAGTGTTTTGCGGTGAACAGCAGCGTGACGTTGTTCTGCTCCGGGTCACTCGCGTACGCCTTGCTCAATGCAGGCTTCAAGCAGTCAAAGCCTGCGCACACCGCTGTGAACACGTCGAACAGCACTGCGAGCGTCGTGCTGTCGAGCAAAAAGGCGTGACTCGCGCTCATGCCGCGGCGCACGCGCCGGCGTCACGCGGCGCTGCGCCCGCGGCGCTGCTCCGCCATCTGCGCATCAATATTACCTCTAATTAAATCTCTGCGTCCAGATGTAAAATAGCTATCAGCAAAAGGCCGTCGCACCCTGCGCGTAGACCGCCATGATTATCTTGCTGCCCGCCGCGCTGCTGCTCGCGCTGCGCTTGACGGCTGGTTTCAGTTTGAACTCTGCCTCCTACCAAGGAGTGCTCGACTCGCAAGACGCGGAGCGCCAAGCTGAGGCAGACAAAGCGGAATACAAAGAGAAACAGCAAGAAATGCTCAAAGAGGTAAAAAAGCAAGAGGCGCAACTCAGTGAATTCAACAAGTTCGCCGACAACACCGAAAAAAACCTCGCCGCGCGCCGCAGCGGCGTCGACAAGCTGCTGCACGCGGAGCACGACGACAACGAAGTGCAGCGCGGCGAAACCGCGGGTGAGGCGCTTGTCTCGCACGGCAGCGAGAAAGAGAAGCTGCGCTTCACCGAGTTCCACGCGCCTAGCCTCTTCGACGTCTTCCAACACTACGACCGCGTCTTCGCGGCGCGAGCGCTGCTCAACAAGCCGCCGTTCCGCATCGCGCCCGACGGCGCAAACGCGCTGAAACTGCGCGCTCAGGAGCTCGCCGCCGAAAAGGCGAAACTGTTAGACAGCATCCGCAACATCAACAGTGCGGCCGAACTCGATCAAAAACTGGCAGACACGCGCCAGCGGCTCGAGAAGTTGGAGCAGCAGATGCAACAATTGCGCGAGTACGAGCAGCTGATTCCCGCCGCGGAGCTCGCGAAGACCCGCAAGCAACTCGCGCGCGAGAATCACGCGCTCAGCAACAAACTGCAGCTGCTCGAAGAAGTCGAGCGCGAAGGCTTTGAAGAAAACAAGAAACAGCTCGACGAGCTGCAAGACGCTGAGGAGCACTAAGCTGCGCCCACCACGACCGTCTCCGGATGCGTCAATTGCGCCGACAGCTCTAGCTGCTCAGCGGGCTGCAGCAACAGCATCTGGATGCGCGCGTCGCACGTATGATGCGCGTTCAGAAACTGCGCAAAGTTCACGCCCTTGGGCGCGAACTCCTTGATCAGCAGCGGCAGCAGTGCGGCGAGCACGCCGCGCGACGCCTCGCCCGTCTGCTGCGGCGCGTCTCGCTCAAACTCCACGTTGATTAGGCCCACTACCGCGGAGTACACCTTGCCGAGCGCCTTCTGCACTGCGCAGTAGCAACAGTACAGCACAAAGACGCGCGTCTCCGCGGCGCGCCAGCAGTTCAAATTCGCGCGGTTGTCCACGCCGATGATTAGCGAGTTCAGCAGCGCAAACGAGTAGCGCGACAGCAGCTTGTGCTGTGGCAAGGACTTGTAGCGCGCCAACGAGTTCAGGAAATGCGCGTATGCCCAGTACCAGTTCTCCGAAGCGTCGTGCGCCAAAAACTCGGTCAGCGTGAGCAGAACGTTGTAGAAAATGCACACAGTTGCGAGCTCCACCTTCTTCGTGTTGCAGCTCGCGCAGAGCGCGCTGAGCGCGCTCGCGGCAGCAGAAAACCCGTGGCTTTGGAACATGCTCTGCGCCGCCGCCGAGTTGAACGCCGCGTACAATTTTTTAACCAGTTCGTTGAGCTGCGGCAGCTGCAGCGGCAGCGTCTGCAGCCCGGCCCGCAACTGCTCCCACGCAAAGTTGTATTCCGCCAGCGCAAGCGACTGCTCGCCTTGTCTCTGCCAGCGACAGAACTCCGAGTACAACACGTCGTACAGCATTTTGACGTACTCCAGCGTTTGCGCGCGCTTGCTGCTGAGCTGCGCGACTGTTTGCCGCGCCGCGGACTCTTCCGCGCCCAGCTTCTCGACAATCAGCGAGGTGTCGCTCGGCTCTGCACTAATTGGGGGGGTTTGCGCGAGCAAGCCACCGAAGCCGGGCGAGACGCGCTGCGCCGTCGGAGAAACGCTGTGCGACGCAGGCGACGGACCTAGCTGCGCGGACTGATCGGCAAATAAGCCAAAACTCTTTGGCGCAGCTGCCAGCAGCGCAGCGCCTTCAGACGTAGCCTCCTTACTGTCGGCAGCCGGCGCGGCCGCCAGCACGCTAGAAAACAGTCCCTGCCCAGCCGGACTGCTGTCGCCGGCGTCTAGATTTGCACAGTTCGCGCCAGCTACTATCTTAGCAGTCTCGCCACCGGACTCAGCAGCAGACTCAGCACATTGCAGCTCAGCGCGCGAGCGCGCCGAATCTTCGAGCTTCCGTTCCTGACGGCGTTTCGCGTCTTCTGCCGCAGACGCCTCATTCATTGCGGCACTGAGGGCGGCAGCAGCTGTTGCGCCGGACACTTCGACTACGGAGCGATCGAACGCTTCCGAGAGGCGCAGCACGAACTTAAACAACTGGGAAGACTGCAACAAGTTGGCGACGGCCGCGTCGAGCTCTCGGTCGTCGCACCGTTTGCTTGCAAGCCACTCGATTTCTGCCGTCGCTGCGCCGCGCGACTGCGGCGCGGGCAACAACGCAGCCTGGCGAGCCGTGTGCGCCGCGAGCAAAGGACCTTTCTCCGCAATTCCGAGCTCGGCTGCCAAAGACGCGAGCAGTGGGTTGGACCGCGCAGCCATGCTCTAGCGATTCGCCGCAGCTGCACCGAAAGTACAAAATAGTGCGGCTATATATATTTGAAGGAAATTTGCGCTTCGTAAAACTCGCAAAACTTCGCCCAGATCTGCTGCGTGTACTCGACCAAGTCGGTGATCGCTTCGGCTTGCGCGCGGCGCGCCGCGTCGACGAGGCAGCCCTCGGCGGCTGCGCCGAGGTCAAGCCCCACGCCGTCAACTACGACCGAGATCGCGGTCAGATCGCCCTGCCGTTCAATTAATTCCGATAATATTTTCCGCAGGTCCTCGCCCAACTCGAGCTCGTCGCCTTTGTGGTACAGCGCGAGTCCGAGTCGCAGCACGTCGCAAAACTCTTCGTAGGCGACCACCGACGTCGCGTCTCCGGCTTCGTCCGCCAACGCCTCCAGTGCGGCCGCGGAACAGAGTTGCAAGGGCAGCAACACTAGCTGGCCTGGCATGCCACGCAGCAGAGAGCTTTTCCGCGCTGCGCAATCAAATGAAAAAACACCCGCACACGCTGTGCAGCAGCACGCTCCAACCGTTTGGTGGATTCTGGGCGGCGGCGGCCACTCCGCAGAGCTGTGTTGCGCGTTCGACCTGCTGAACGAGCGCACGCTAGAAAGTTTCAAGACGGCGCGCGTGGTTTTTTTCTGCCCGCGTGGCGACATGACGTCTGTGCGCGCCGCACAACGTCTGGTTTCACGACTCGCGCAGCGCGGCCAGCGCGCGGAGTTTCACGCGCTGCCGTCTGCGCGCAGCGTGCGCGAGCTGTACTTGCTGAGCGCAATCAAACAATGCGTTGCAGCGTTGTTCATCACACTGCTGCTCGTCACGCAGCGCTGGCGAAGCCCGCAGCGAGTTTTCGCGAACGGCCCCGGCTTCGCAGTGCCGTTTTTGGTGGCGTTGAAGCTGTACAGGCTGCAGCTGCGCGCGCAGCGCTGGCTGCGCCGCGGCGTGGACACGCCGCAGTGTTCAGTACTGTTTGCAGAGAGCGTCTGCCGCACGCGGACGCTCAGTGCCACGGCGCGCCTGGTGCGCGCGTTGCGCCTCTGCGACACGCAAATTCTGTTTTCGCGCGCGCTGCTGCGGCTCTGCGAAGACTCGCGGATCGAGACGTTGGTGTTCGACCCGAGGGACCTGATAAGCGACGGAAATTATAAAAGCGGATTTTAATTATCGGAGCGGCCGATCAAAAGCGGCAGTTCGCAAACCAAGTTTCGAACGTGAAGCTTCGCGGTTGTCGCAAGCCTTGACGTCGACCGGATCAACAGCAATCTCAGCACAGCGAGCGCAGCGGCTTCTCAGACGCAATGTCGATGCAAAACCCGTTCTGGAACAAGCGCGCAGCAAAAAGCGTGCGCAACGACACGCAGGACACGCGGCTCGACTCGGAATGCATTGAAGAGTACATGTACATCGACTCGGCCGCCTCGACCGTGAACATCTGCAAGGAGAACAGCGACGCGTTCTTCCGCTGGTACGAGCGCGAGCTGCCCTCGAACTTCGTCTTCGCGCGCTGCTGCATTCGCGGCGCGCACGCGCGCGCGGTGCGCGCCTTTGCGGAGCAGCAGTACCGCTACAAAAAATACGCCTACCGCAACAACAACACGGTCGCGCAGCTGCAACAGCGCGAGGCGTACAAATCGCAAAGCATTGACCTCTCTAAGGAGTTCGAGTTCATGCGGCGCAACGGCTTCACGCGGCCGCTGGACGTGTCTTCGAAGTTCGCCATCGCGATGCTGGTTTTGAACGTCGCCGCCTCGCTCGGTCTGGCCGCTTCGCTCCGGCAGATCGACGTGGTCTTCGCGCTCTACGCAGTGCTGGTTGTGTGTTGGAGCCTGCTGTTGTTCTTCGCGCTGACCACCGCGTACATCGACCCGTCGGACAGACTGCACCTGCTCAACTGGAAGGCCGAGCGCGTGGAAGCGTTTCTGCCAGAAGAGATGCGCCACTTCAGCTACTGCAACGATTGCGGAATCGTGGACGGCAGCTCTCGGCACTGCACGATTTGCAACAAGTGCGTCGAGAACTTCGACCACCACTGCAAGTGGCTGAACAACTGCGTGGGCCGCATGAACTACAACTACTTCTTGGCGACGGTAGTGATGCTGCTCGCGACCAGCACGCTGTTGCTGGTCATGACCGTCGTGACGCACCTGCCGCTGCTCTCGGGTCGCTTTTCGGAAATTCGCCGCTACCCGGCGGCCGCCGGTGCGGCTGCGGCGGTGCTCCTCGCGGTGAACCTCCCAGTGTTCTACTTCGCCGCGCAGCTCCTGTGTCTGCACGTCTACCTAATTGCGCAGAACATGACGACACGCAGCTACGTGATGGAGCAAATCGATCCGGCGGAAACCAGCAAGAAGCGCTGGTGCTCCGACCGCATCGTCATCGACTCGAAGAAACTCGACGCGGCGCGGAAGAAGCGCTGGGAGCAGCCCGCCTAGGCCGCCGCGCGCTTCGCGTACGCCTTGATCGCCGCGAGCACCGGCAAGTTCACAGTGGTCCCGTCGGCCGTGACGCCCGCGAAGAGCCGGCTATCCGAGTTCTCTGCAATCACGAACTTCGCGAACCGCTCGCTCTTCAGCTGCTCGTCGTCGTAGAACTCGAACAGCTCGCGCAGCAGCGCCTCGGTGCGCGCGTTGATTTGCGAGCCGACCTCGTAACAGTATAAGATTTCGTGCAGACACACCTTCAGGTGCTCGACGTTGCGAAACGCGCTGCCGCCGAGCGTGACCGCGGCGTTGTCGCTCGCAAGCTCCTGCGCCTTCGCCTCCTTCCGCAGAAAGGACTGCCGGCGGTTCAGCACGGTGCGCGGAAACAGCGCGAGACACTTGCGCGCGTCTTCGGCCGAGTCGATGGCGCACACGGGGCACTGCGCACCCTGCAGCTCCAACTGCGTGAGTCGCGGGACCACCTCCGCGTCGTTCGCGAAGTGCGAGAGGTACGCGTAGCAGACGCCTTCCGGCTGCCGGTTCGTCACGAAGTTCACGAGCGCCTGCGGCTTTTGCGCCGAGTCGGGTTCCGCGGCGAGGCCGACCAGCTGCGCGAGCTTTTCCTGCAGCGCGCTCTTGACCTCGCCGAACGTGCAGCCCTCCGGGAGTTGCTCGACGCGCAGCAAGTAGCCCGCTTTGTGCAGCTCCTCCATGTTGACGTGCTTCGACACGTCCGGTCTCTGCGCGTCGCGCGGGCAGAGCTTCGGCAGCCGTGCGTTGTTCGCGCGGCGCACGCCCAGGTCGCTCACCTCGACCTTCTTGCTGCCGGCGCAGACGCGCTTTACGTCCTCCGCGGTCACGCGCCCTTCCACCATGCGGCTGCAGCTCAGCAAGTTCGCGAAAGGCAGCCAGCCCTCCGCGTTCGCCGAGATGATGCCGTGGAAGAACTCGTCCGTGCGCAGGTTTTTGTCGCTCAGGTAGTACTCGAGCTGGAAGAGCAGACTGCGGTCGGGGTCCAGCGCTTCATTGCGGCGCGCACGCTTTCCGGCCTCCTCGCCTGCGGCGCCGTGGCCGCGCTTCGCCGGCTGCGGCGGCGGCGGGATCTTTGGCGGCGCGGGCGCCTGCGGCTCCGCGGGCGCGGTGGTCGGCTGCGGCTCGGCGGGCGCGGCAAGCGGCTGCGCCTCAGCGGCCGGGCCGCCGGCCGGCGCGGCGGCGGCCAACTCGCGTTCGCAGGGTTCGGCGGACATTGCGGTCAAAACGCAACAGACGGTCGCTTGCGTTCAACGCCTAAATACTTAAATAAATTATGAGCCGCGCCCCAACATTTTTGCGGACGGACGGCGCCGCGCGCGGCCTGCAGCGCGCGCTGCTGCAGCAGAGTCTCGCGTACCTGGCTCTCTCGGTAAGTCTCGCCCGCGCAACCGCAGAGCGAAGCCGCCGCGGCGGCGCGGCTGGCCGAAGAGCTTTTGTTCGCGCCACCGCACCTGCGCAGCTCGCCGCGCAACTGCGCGCGCCTGGACCTCGCAGCGGTCTCGCAGCTGCTGCAAAACGACACGCTCGGCGCGCGCGAGAAACTGCACTCTTTGCTGCAGCTCGACCGCGCGCTTCTGAAGACATGGGCGTACTCTCGCCGGCGCGCCGCTGACGCGCAGCGCTGGCTGCGGCTCGCGCCGCCGGACGAAATTAGATAAAGCGCGAAAAATCCTATATATAGATTCTGCTGCGCAGCCTGGCGCACGCGACCCGCTCGAGCTTTCGGCCGCGCCTCTCTTTGGCCCCGCAACGACATGGCTGCGAATCTCAAGCACAAGCTGCTGAAAGCAGAGAAAACCCGCAAGGCGCAGCGCGCCGCCCCCGCGCCGCGGAAGCCGCGCACTGCGCGCCGCAGGTTAACCGACTTGGTCCGAGCCGCGAACGCTGCCAGCACCGCCGCGGACGCGAACGCGAACGCGAACGCGAACGGGGACGCGTCGAAGCCTCTCGTGCGCGCAGACGGCGCGGCGCCGCCGGCAGACGCCGAGCAGCTCGTCGCCGCGCTGCCGCTGGTGGTGAAGCCCAGCGACAAAAAACTGCTGCTGGCGCTGTGCGCGGAGTGCGCGAGTTCGCCGCTCGCGGCCGTGCGCTGCGTCTCCGAAATAGTGCAGCGCGTGGCGAGCGACTCAAACGCGCACAAGCTCGAGGCGTGCGTGGTGCGCTACGCGCTGGACGCGTGCCGCGCCGCGCCGGCGGACTTCGGTGGCGTGTACTTAGCGCTGCTCAGCGCGGCCTGCAGCATGTTCGCGCAGGTGCTGCCGTCGTACGTGGTGCCGCTGCAGCCGGCGCAGCTCGCAAAGCTGCCGCTGCAGGCCGCGGCGCGGCACGACGTGTTGCTGTTGAGTGAGTACACGCTTTTTCTGCGCGAGCTCGGCCGCTTCCTCGGGTGCTTTCGCGCGCACTTCACGCGTGACGACGCGGCGACGCCGCAGAAGCTGCGCGCGCTCGCGGACAACTTCGCCGCGCTCTTCGCCGCCGGCAAGGCGACCAACGCGCACGCGGAGCTGTTCGCGTTCGCGCTCGCGTTTCTCAAGAAGGCAGACGCGCTCGCGCCCTCCGAACCAGCGCCCGCGCAGCGCGTGCTCGACGCGATCGGCGAGGCGCTGCGCAGCGACGCGGCGCTCGCGCTCTCGTGCGCGCTGGTTCCGCTGCTCTGCGCGTTCGTGCAGCGGAACAAGAAGCGCACGGGCCTGGTTGTGCCGCTGCTGCAAGCGCTTTGCGAGGTGCGTTTGGAAGAGCAGAAACAGAAACCCGTAGTCGAGCAGCTCGCCGCCGACGACGCGCCACCAACGCATCGCCGCGCAACCGCCGCGGCGCGCAAGCCGCCGGCGCCGCCAGCGAGCGCCGGCAAACAAGGCTTCGCGTCGCGCAAGAAGAAAGTGCTCACGGAAGAGGTGCTGCTGCTCAGCCACCTGCTGCGCAACTACAACGCCGTGGCGGCTCCGGTGCTGCTCGCGGCGCTCGGCTTGTGCGAGCACGTGCTGCCGCACGTCAATTTGGTCGTCGCGGGCGAGCTCTCTGAGCTGTTTGCCGCCGCCGCGAGCAACCTGAAGTGCGCCTCGTTGCAGCACGCGCAGTTTCTGCTGCGCGCGCCGCTGCTGTGGAGCGCGGCGTTTGCGCGGCTCTACGGCAAGGACTCGTGCTCACTGGCGCACGACTGGCTGGCGCTCGCATTTCACCGCGCGCTGCACTACTTGCTGCTCAGCGAGGCCGCCGCGCCCGCGGGCGGCGACGATGACTTTCTGCAGTTCTGCGAGGCGGAGCTGCCGCCGCTCTTCCGCAAAGCAGTCGACGCCGAGTTCATCTTCCCCGCGCCGCCCGCTGCGATGCGCCCGTTCTGGAAGAACGAAGCCGCGGCGAAGCTGCTGCTCGAGTTCGCAGAAGCCGCGGAGCGCTGCGCCCCGCCGCTCGAGCGCCCGCTCGTCGCGTGTTGCCAGCTGATTCTCGCAAAGTTTCCCGCTCTGTCCGAGTTGTTCTCGGAAGACGGCTTGTGCTGCGACAGTCTGAGTCCCGCGCTCAGCGCGCATCACTGCGCGAAGACCAAGCGGCTCCTGCGCGCCGCGGCGCTGCCGCCGTTGGAAGCTCGGCGAGCTAGCCGCACCTTTGCAGATCCATGCACCCATGATTACGAAACGCGAACCCGCTGTTTTCGAAAATGCGACCGACTCGTTCGAAAGCGCGCGGCTGCGGAAGATCACGCAAAAGTACTTGGCCGAGTTGCAGCAGCTCATCGACCGAGACGCGCTGAAGCCGGTGCGCGCCGCGCTTAAGCCGGCCGCGTCGTCCGCAGACGAGAGCGACGAGGATCTCAGCACTGTCGCGCAGAGTTCCGAACGCGTAAGCGCTGACAGCGCCGCGTCGCCGCCCGCCGTGCGCGTCGCGGCGCGCGACCCGTTCGCGCTCGAAGCGCCGGGCCTCACGCAGCCGACGCCCACGCTCGTGCTCGAGCGGCTCACGCAGCAGGTGCTCGCGCAACTCGGCCGCTTTTTGGCGCAGATCGAGAGCCGGCTGCACGGCGCGGCGAAAGCGCCGACGCCGAGCAAGCGACCCAGCGCGCCCGCGCCCGTGCTCAACCACTGGAAGAACCTAAACCTCGTGTTGCCCATCTCGTTCGCCGCGCTGAGCGTCGACGCGAGCGGCTGCGCGCAGCCCGCGGACAGCGCGGCGTCCGCGTTCCCGGTGTTCTACGCGCACGCCGAACTCGACGCGAAGAGCACAGCCGCCGCGGCGTTCAACCGCAAGAAAATCATGACGCTCTTCAGCGCACACTGTGCGCTCGCGCCCGCGGTCGTCAAGAAGCACAACGCGCTCTACACGCGCATCGCCGTAATCCACAAGTGCCCAGACTTCGTAGTCTCCTTCATCGGTTGCCTTGCGCAGCTGCTGATCCCTTCGGGCATGTTCGACTCGGCGATCTGCCTGAAGTGCACAAAACTCACCCGCTGCAGCGTCCACATGAAGCGCCGCTGCAAAGCCGACGTACACCCGCACCCGCGCTTCAGCAACTGGCTCGAGCGCATCGACGCGTACCTCGAGACCTTCGCGGAAGCGGACGCGCAGAAGCTCGCCTTGCTGCGCAAGTACTTGTCGCAGTTGGAGTTCATGATCAACCAGCCGATCCAACGCTACTTAACGAACTGGTACAAGCAACACGTGAGCGTCGCGCTGCCGGTGCAGTTCTTCAACAGCTCCAACGAAGCGCTGATGCTCGAGCTACGCTGGGCGCCCGCGCAGCACATGAAATGCATCCTCGGCTACCGCAACGCCATGCAACCCAGCTCGTTCCACTCGCGCCCCGTAAACTTCGCGCCGCTCTTCTTCAACGAGCTCTTTTTGATCAAAGAACACTGCTGCCTCGAGAACTTCAAGAACAGCTTCAACGAACTCGTCGGCAAAGACAATCTGCTGCGCGACACGCACGGCGAAGAAGTCCGCATCGCGCTCAGCTACTAGCCGCGAAGGCGCGCGCAACGCGCAGGCTGCCGCTCTACAGTCCCACGCGAAGCAGCGCGACAAGCGTTCGCCAGTCGACCCGCCAGCGCCGCGCCGACACGCCTCTCCCGCAGCCGAGCAGCAGCCGCTGCCGACTCGGCCGCGCGAACGCCGCCGCGCGCAAGCCGCTGAAGCCGCGCGGCAGTTCGCCTGCGAGCTCCAAATTGAGCTCGCGAGCACTGCACCGCTTCGCCAACTGCGCTGCGCGCGTTTTGTGCGAGACAGACGCAACACAGCCGAAGCAATTTGCTTTCATAAAACTCCGCGGCAGACAGCCGGCGCGTCGCCGCAGCGCAAAGTCAGCGCCGCAAGGCACCGCTTGCGTTTTCCCGCCGCGCACGCGGCTATTCTTTCTTTTTGAGAGCGTCGTCGCTGCGGTCACTCGCGGCGACCGCTTTCGCTCCAAGTGATAGCTGCTGCACGCACTCCCCAACCAGCGCGCTGAACGGCTCGCGGATCGCGGCGTCGTCCGCGCAGACCGTGCCAGCGTCGCACGAGCGGCATAGCTCTTCGACCGCGGGCACCTGCACGAGCCGCCGCAACCCGTTCTCGCTGCAGAACGCGAGCATCGCGGCCGAAGCGTCGCTGTTCAGAAAAGAGTCTGCCATGTTTTCGACCACGCCAATAATCGGCAGCTCCGCCGCGCGCAGGAAGCCAACCTCCTTTTCCACGTCGGCAATCGCGATCTTTTGCGGCGTGCCGACCACCAACGCGCCGATTCGCGGAAAGTGTTTGAGCAGCTGCGCCAAACTCAAGTGCTCGTCGCTCGTGCCCGGCGGCGTGTCGATCAACAGCATGTCCAGCTCGCCCCAGTCCACGTTCTCCAAAAACTGCCGGATCAACGCGCCCTTCTTCGGACCGCGCCAGATCACCGCGTCCGAACTGCGCTCCAGCAAGTACTCAATGGACATCAACTTGATGCCCTCCGCCGATAGCACCGGCGACCAGCCCGCCAATGTCTCCTGCACGCTCGCTCCGCGCGTGCCGGTCATGCTCGGCACGCTCGGACCGCAGATGTCCAGGTCGAGCAGCCCGGTCCTAAAGCCTGTGCGCACAAACTCGCGCGCGAGAGTGCACGCCACGGTGCTCTTTCCGACGCCGCCCTTGCCGCTCGCAACCACTATGATGTTCCGCACGCCCGACAACTTGCGCACCGCCGCGCCTTCGTCCGCCGCCCGGCGCGCGGCCTCGCCGCTCGCGCAAAGCGCCGCGTTCGGGCAACCCTCGCAAGCAGCCGCTCTGCCAGCCAACTCGCTCGCCGCTCCCGGGCACGCTGTGCCCGCAGCGCGCATCAGACGCCGCCGACGGCACGCGTAGTAGACGCCCGCCCCAGCAGTCGCCGCAGCAGCCACGCACGCGGCCGCGCCCCAGTAATTTCTGCAAGCTTTCAGGGCGACAAAATTCATAAATCCAGAATCGCCTGCGAAATTTGACCGCGCCAGTCGCTGCGCGCCCGCCCCGTCCGGTTGTCGGCTCTATCGCAACTGACAGCCCTTGCAGCCCCTCTCGGTTCGCGTTCTGCTTTGCCGCGCACTTCGCTCGGCGCGACTGAAGCGCCGCCCGCAAACTTTCGCCCACTTCTGCCGCACTGCTCGCACTGCTGTCGAGAGTTAGCTCACAGTCTTTCCGCCAACGTCTCGCTAACTCGGCGCCAAACGCAGTTCAGCCGTTTGCATTACAATCCAATTCGTGCTACTGCGCCGTTCGACCGTCTGCTCGTTCCATACCAGGCTCGTTCAGGCCGTGCAGCACACCTTCCAGCAGCGACTTGCGGCTGGACCCAGGCTTGCTCCACTTCATCTTGTCGTAAATCACCTTCGCGAGACACACCATGGCGTACACCGGCAGCAGCGCGCCGCGCAGTGCACTGCTGTCCTGTTCGCCGAACCCGTACACGGAGGCTGCGAGGTACAGATAATCCGCAAAGTGCAGCGCATTCAGCTTGCTGACCGTGTTGAGCTCCGCACTCGCCATCGCGTGGCACAGTCCCAACTGCGGCGACGCCGTCACGCTCTTCACCACATCCGTGTTCCGCGCAATCGCCAGACAGGAAGCCGAAAACGCCTTCAGAATGAAGCTTGCCGGCGTCCACTGTAACGTGCTGATCACCTTGTAAGTCTGTTGCGAAGCGCAAAGCACCGAGACGTACATCGACTCGATGTCGCCAGAGCTCATGTTGGTTAGCGCCGCCAACTCACCCGCAGGCGCGCGCCCTTGCGAGTACAAGTAGACCAGCAGCGCGGAATAGACTTTCTCGAGCTGCAACACGCAGTAAACCGAACTGTCCTCCGGCAGCAACAGCGAACTGGAGCTCAGCGCTTCGGTTAGCAGCGCGGTGCAACTGCGCAGTTGCTGCTCGCTCGCTGCGAACAGCGCCTCCAAACTGATTCCCCACGTCTCAAGCGCCTTCAGCTCGTACGTCGGCACGCGCGCCAGCAACTGCGAGAAAATCGAGCGGAAGTTCGGCTTCAGCCTAAAGGTCAACTTAATGCTGTTCAGAGCGCGGCGCGTCTCGCAAAGCGACGTGTTCTTGCTCGCAAACAACATCAGAAACGCCTCGCTCAGCGCTGTGTAGCTCGTGTGCGCCTCCAGCGTAACCGCCGTGTAGATCTTTTGCAAGTGCGAGCCTAAGTTCCACGGCTTTCCCTCAATCTCCCGCATCAGCACGTAGCTGTTCGTTACAGACCCCTCTGTGACTGCCACGCCGTACGCCGTCGGCACAAACTTCTCTTTCTCGTACCGAATGCACTTCATTCGCAGCAAGCGTTTCAGCAGAAAGTTCAGCGCCTCCGAGACCGACAACGATGGTTCTTTGTGGAACCGCGGCACATTCGTGAAGAAGATCTGCGACATCGCGACTACCTCTTCCAAACTCATCTTTTGCTTCAGCACGATCGCTTCCAACAGCAGCGACAGCAAGCTCTCGACGTTTCGCACTTGGCTGTTCTCGTTGCCGAGCTCGCCGTACAGCAGTTGTCGCGCGTCGTCAAATTCCTTACTGTTTGCGGCGCACACGTAGACCTCGCCGAACGCAGTGAGGCCCTTACGGCCTGCTCTGCCCGACATCTGCCGGTAGTCAATCACTGAGTACTGCGATATGCCCATCCGCAGCCCGTCCAGAACAATCCGGTGTGCGGGCAAGTTCACGCCCGCCGCGAGCGTGCTCGTGCAAAACAAGCAGCGAATGTTTCCCTTCATAAACTCCGCCTCGACGAGCATGCGCTCAGCCATCGAAATCCCGCTGTGATGCACCGCGACTCCGGAACGCAGCCACTTCTCCCACAACTGCACGCGCGTGTGGTCGGCGTTCTGCCGCAGTGCAAAGCGAAACCGATCCATCAGCGTCGCATTGCTCAACGACGCGCCAGCTTCACCGCATAAACTGCTGAACTTCAGCGCCTGCAGCTCGCACTGCTTGCGGCTGCTGCAGAAGCAGAGACAAGAGTACTCGTTCTCGAAGATGCTGTCGTAGATGATAGCGTGTGCGGACACGCCCACATCTTTGAACTTTCCTTGTTCTCGCGCAAAAGGCACTTTCACAAAGCCGTCGCAGGCTTGCTGATCCTTCTTCAGCAACTCCGATTTGTACACAATGAACTCAGTCATCGCGATCGGCCGGTATTTGCTGACAAAGAACTCGGCGTCTAGCCACTGCGCCAATCTCTCAATGCACGCAAACGTAGCGGACATCGCTACTATCTGCACCGACCGCAAGCTCGCGTTGTACTTTAACTTGATCAGCATGTTTTCAATGAGCAATCCACGCGCGCCTGAAAAAAACACATGGAACTCGTCAAAGATCACTAGGTCCACCGAAAGCTTACACTCGGGATCTTTCAAACAGCGCTGCACCAGCTTGGACGCCTGCTCAATCGTTGAGACCGTCACGTCGTACGCCCTGTTCGCCTTGTCGCTAGAACCGTAGTACAGCTCACCGACTTTTTTGCCCAGCACGCCACCAGCTGTTTTCAGAGAACGTGCTTTCTCGCGCACCAGACTCACGAACGGAATCACGTACAACACTTTACAGCCAGCTAAACAGTGGTGCCACGCCAACAAATCCGCGACCAGTGTCTTGCCGCCGCCAGTCGGCGCCGTGTAAATAAAGTTCTTAGTGAGTGACGCGCTTGCGCGCGCCAGACTGGCGAGCGCTTCCAGCTGCCACTCGTACAGTTGCGAATAACCCTGATCGCGGCTAACTACCACATACTAACCTGGCAGCCAGATTCCTCCATTCCTCCGCACGCATCTGCTAGGTTGCCGGTCGCATGCTGCGAACCGCGCCAAAGCCGATGGTGTTCGACTTTGCGCAATCAATTGATAAGACTGCGCATTTTACTTTGAAAAAAATACTTGATTCTTCCAGAGGCTTGTGAACTATGATTGTTAAGCAGTCAAGCTTGAAGTCTAACACTGAAAGCATTGCAGGCGATGCGCACCAGATGTCGTTGATCCTTGAAAATCCAGAAATGGAGGAAGCGATGTCGGCCGACCTCACTTCTCGAAAAGTCGCGTACACCTCGGAGGCACGACAACCCGAGTCGTTTAATCCTCGTTTCGGGCCTTCCACTGGAGTGTGTAAGTCCTACAATGCGCTTGGCTCCGACAATGCTGTTACTAAGAAATTCTTCTCGCCACTGCAACTCGAGCGCCAGCAGTACCAGCCCATCAAAGCGGACGCGTTCCAAGGTTGGCGCAACGCTTTAGTCCCGCTGGAGCTGCCAAATCTGAAGCAGAAGCACGCGGAAGAACTGCGAAATTTTTTTCAGTGCATTTACAACAACCCAACCGTCGCTATCGAAGCAGTACACGACAACCGAAAACCCGAATTACAGCAGCCCGTTCGCGTCGGAGTATTTCTCAGCGGAGGGCCTGCACCGGGCGGGCACAACGTTATCTCCGGTTTGTTCGACCGGCTGAAGGAATATCACCGCGACTCCGTGCTGATCGGATTTCGCGGAGGCCTCGAGGGTTTGTTTGCAAAGAACTACTTCGAAGTAACTGATGATTTGCTTTCCGTGTTTCGCAACTCGGGCGGATTCGACTTTCTCTGGAGCGGCCGCGGCAAACTGACTGACGATAACATTGACATTTGTAAACAGGTGGTTAACGAGCTGCTGCTCGACGGGCTCGTTGTCGTCGGCGGCGACGGCTCGAACAGCGTTGCCGCTTTCCTTTCAGAACACTTTGGAAAATCGTTGGACTGTCACTGCAACGTCATTGGCGTTCCAAAGACTATTGACGGCGACTTGATGAACGAAGCGATCGAGGTTTCGTTTGGGTTCGACACGGCGAGCCGCACGTACGCGGAACTCATCGGCAACCTGTGCACAGACTGCTGCTCGGGGCAAGGCGTTTGGCACTTCATCCGTGTCATGGGGCGAACTGCGAGCCATCTGACCGTAGAGGTTGCGCTGCAAACGCGCCCGAACTTGGTCTACATCGGCGAAGAAGTGGAAGCTAACAACACAAGTTTGCGCGATATTATCAAAGAGATTGTTGAGGTCGTGATCGAGCGATACAAACAGGGCAAAGAATACGGCATCATCATTCTCAGCGAAGGTCTGATCGGATTTATTGCGGAGATCAAGGTTTTGCTGTCCGAGATTCAAAAGATTCTGGCGAACAACGAAAATGAAATGGACTCAGACCAGCTGACTGAAAACAGCAAGAATCTTTGGTTCTACTTGCCGGAGCAGATCCGGGTGCAGTTGTTGTCCGACCGTGAAGCTTCAGGCATGGTCCAGGTTGCTAAAATAGCTACCGAAAGACTTATCATGCAGCTAGTGATGCTGGAGATACGCGAGCGTAACATCCCGTTCAACGCCACGCACCACTACTTCGGCTACGAAGGGCGCTGCGCGATGCCTTCAAACTTCGACTGCAACTACTGCTACAACTTGGGCTTCACCGCTGCGACGCTCATCAAGATGCGGCGAAACGGCTACATCGCAACTGTCAAGCACTTGGAAAACTCGCCGGACATGTGGACGCCGTGCGGCGTTCCGTTTTGCCGAATGATGCACATGCTAGACATGGCCAACTGCACGCGCGTTCCGCAAATCATTCGGCAGCTTGTGGACTTGAATGGCCCCATCATGAAGGTGCTCAACGCAGTGCGCAACGAGTGGAAGTTTAACGACTACTATCGCTGCCCAGGGCCGATCCAGTTCAAGGGGCCCGTGTCGGAAGAGGTCTGCTACGTGGTAAATGTGCCAACTGCTGAAGAGTTGCTCGCGGGCAAAAACACCAGCATGCGTAATCTGCTCGGCAAAGGTCGCGCGACGACCTCGCGATACTTGGGCAGCTACAGCAAATTGCAGCTGCACCGCTTGAAGTACGTGCCGCCGGTTCCGTCGATCTTGAAAGACCCGAGTGCTCACTTGGTGCGCTCAACGCAGTACTTTCCGATGGACTCGTACGCGCGTAGGCAGGTCATTTCCTACAGTCACGCGTTGTGCAAGAAGAACGAGTTTTACTTGAGCGAGCTGAAGAGCTCTGCGGACTCGACGGTCAGAGCGCCGCCTCTCAACGTGGGCATTGCAATCCTGTCGCGCCAGGCTCCGGGTATGCACAACGTAATTTGGGGCATCTTCGAGCGCGTCACTGAAAAGGGCGGCAAGGTATTCGGTTTCAAGTGCGGAACGCAGGGCATTGTCACGAAGAACTACACCATCCTGACGGCGCAGGATCTGCTTCCGTTTAAGAACCTCGGCGGCGCGGACCTGCTGGGCAGAGGCAGAGAGCATGTTCTGCTGAACCACCAGGCGCGCAAACAGGTGCTGCAGAACGTATCCCATCTCAACTTGGACGCGCTGATTCTGATTGGCTCGTCGCTGGCGATGACCGAAGCGACCTACCTCGCAGAGTACTTCGAGTACAAGCGCGCGCACTGTTGCGTGATTGGCGTGCCGGCGACGGCAAGCAACAACCTGACGCACGAACTGCTGGAGACGAACATTGGGTTCGACACAGCTAGCAAGATTTACGCCGGGCTGGTTGGCAACGTGTTGGCCGACGCAGCTTCGATGCCAAAGTATTGGCACTTTGTGCGGCTGATGGGCAAGCAAGCGAGTTACGAGGTGCTCGAGACGGCGCTGCAGACGCACCCGAACGTCGTGATCATTGCGGAGGAATACGGCGCAGCGCAGAAGACGATCCACGACATCGTCAAAGACATTGCGGACGTCGTCTGCAAGCGCGCAGAGACCAACAAGCAGTACCCCACGCCGCGCAACTTCGGTGCCGTGCTGATTCCGGACGGGCTCTGGCACCAGCTGCCGACGATGCGTGCGCTGCTGGAAGAGATCGATCGCATCAACAGCGAAGCCGAGGCAGCGAATGCGCTGAACGAGGCACACGCCAGTTTGCTGCAGCTGTCTTCGGGCGGCGTGGATAACGAAAGCGAGGCGAAGTTGGATAAGTGGACGAAGCGCTTGAGTCCGTGGAGCCGCGCGATCTGGGCTTCGCTGCCGGCATACATCCAGGCCGAGTTGATGACGGCGGACGCCGAGCTACGACTGACTTTCGTGGAGACGGACGTGCTGCTCGCGGAGATGGTCAAGGCGGAGTTGCTGCGCCGCGCGGAGAGCGGCGCGTTCAAGGGCAACTTCCAGTGCGTCTGCCACTACTTCGGCTACCAAGGCCGCTCGGGCATGCCGAGCAACTTCGACTGCACGCTCGGCTTCGTGCACGGGCAGCTAGCGGTGCTCGCGGCGGAGGCGCGGCTGAACGGACACCTGACCACGGTGCGCGGGCTGTGCGGCCCGGTCGCGGAGTGGAAGCTCGGCGTGATTCCGCTGAACTGTCTGCTGACGATCGTGCCGACGCGGCAGGAAGTCGGTCGCCACGAGGCGATCATTCGCATGAAAGACAACGGCGAGATGCCGCTGATCCCGAACAGCGAGCTCTCGCTCTCGAGCAACGCGCTGCGCTCGCTGCGCGAGCAGCGCCGCACGTGGATCAGTCACGACCGCTTCCGCAACCCCGGCCCCGTGCAGTTCTACGGCAGTACCTCGAAGATCATCCACCACATTTTGCAAGAAGAGCAGCTCGAGTACTACAACATGCTCAAGACAGTGCAGAACTACACGGAAACGCTCAAGAAGTCCTGCGACTTTGGCGTCGACAAGACGTTCCTGAAGTACGCGTTCACGAGTTTACACGGTCTGCTGGCCTTGCGCTACTACCCGAACGAGCTAATGAGCTACATTTGCTCGAGCCAGTCGTACGCCGACAAAGGGTTTTGCTACAAGAGCCTCGCGCCGAAGAACGAGCCGAAATCCGAATAATTTTGACGAAAAATTTGTCTTCGCCAGAAATCGTTTTCGACAAAACTGTGCTGCAGGCTGCGAAAGTTTTACAGTCAGGCGAGACGCAAATTTATTTTTTTGTGAACTTTACCGCTTGCAGAGTAAATTTATAGCGCAAAATGTCGAACACGTTGTGGTTCGTGGCGACAAAGGCGGAGGGTTTGCGCCGCACTGATAATAGTTGCAGCAGCTTCCACGCAGCGCGCGCAAAGCTGAATAGGCTGATCCGCAGCGTGTGCACCGAAATGTACGCGTAGTGCACGAGTGTTTTGCGCTCGCCCGCCTTGCTTAGCTCGGTCTCGAGGTTGAGCGTCGCGGCGAGGCGCTCCACGGAGGAATGCACAGAGGCATGTTGGAGCGCTGCCCGCTGCAGAGCGAGCCGCGCCTTTAGCGCGACGCGCGGGCGCTCGATCAGTGCGCAAGTCACGATCGTGCTGACCGCAGCCTGCGCCGTGCGCATCGCGACCTGCGGCGCAGACGCGAACTGCAGCCGCTCGATCAGCTTCGTGGAGCGGCGGTCGAAGAGCAGATTGGTCGTTGCGGCGCCGGAAGCCGCGACGCCCGCCGCGACCAACACGAGGTCGCGCGTCGCGCGGTGGCACAGCCGCAGCTGCACCTCGTTATTCAGCCGCAGCTCGAGGCGGAAGCGCGGGCCGTCCAGCAGTGCGCCGAACAGCGCGCCCTGCGCGTCGCGCGAGCGCGGCACCGTCGGCGCGCCGGCGGACGCGCGGCGCAGACACGCGGCGCAGGGCTGCGTCAGCTGCCCCGCAAGCTCGCTCGCGCTCTCGCGAGACTCCGCAGCTTCACCTTCGCGAGAGCCGGCGACCGCGCGCGCTTCGTGCGCTTCGAGCAACTCCAGCTTGTGCTCGCACAAGGCGCTGCGCGGCAGCAGCAGCTCGCGCTGCGCTGCGCCGGGCGTCAACACGAAGTCGAAATAGTGTTTCGCGCCGTCGAAGACCTCGCACCGCACGAGTCGCGGCGTGCAGAGCAGCACCAGACTGCGGCTCACCGTCAAAATGCGCACGCCCGCGAACGCGCGCCCGCGCACCTGCTGCAGAGGCACCTCACACAGCAGCCGCGCGCGCGGTGACTCGCTGCTGGCTTCGAGCAACGCCTCGTGCGTCCCGCTGCCCTCCGTTCTGCGCAGTAAGACTTCTGCCGCAGTTCCATCGGCGGCGCCAAAGACGCGGAACAGCTTGACGCTCTCCAGCGGCATGTCGCGCCGCGCGCGCGCCTGCGCACGCACGCGCAACAGCTGCGGCGGCTCGCGCGGCCCGCCGCCGCGGCTCCAGGCGGCAGGAACGCTGTAGACCAGCTCGTCGCTGCCCTCGAAGCGGAACTGCAGACAGTAAGGCGAGTGGTTGAGCACCTGCACGCAGCCCGCGTAGTCCGGCGGCAAAATCTGCAGCACCCACGCGTTGAAAGTGTTGCGATAGAGGCGGAACGTGTGCGCGTCGCTGCCCATCGACAGCGCGCCCTCTTTGCCCTGCAGCAGCGCAGACACGTCGACGGCGCGCCCGTTGACGAACAGCGGCGCGTCCAGCGGACACTCGGCTGCCCTCGCGCTCGGCGCGAAGCGCTGCAGCTGCGCGAGCTGCGCAACTCCGCGCAGCAGACGCCGCGGCGTGCTCGCGACCCAGTTGCCCAGCGAATGCCTCGCCTCGAGCGTCGCAGGCGGCTGGAGGTTTGGGCGCGCGTCGGCTGAAGAAACCTCCGCGGAGGCGTGCGTTGGCACGGCTGCGCCGACGCTCGACAGCTGCAAACTGTTGAAGCTGAGCAAGTAACCCGCGCGCAGCGAGAGCTGCTGGCGCGCACTCGACCCGACGCGCAGCGTCGCGCCCGTCGCGTTCTGCAGCCAGAAGGCGGGCACCCAGTAGAAGCGGTTGTTCTCGCGGGACAGCACGAACCGCTGGCCCGCCGCGTCGGTGTGCTCCACCGCGTCGCGCGAGAAGTTCTGAAGTTGCGCGCGGCTGAACTTCGCCGCGCTGCCATCGCGGAACGTCGCGACAAAAGCGTCGAAGTGGTTCACGTTTAGCACGAACAGCTTGCCGCTGCTCACCGGCAAAATCTCCCGGCGCTTGCCGTCCGAAACGCCCTCCAGCGACCGCACCAGCCCCTTGTGGTTCAGGAACGCGTGCTTCAGCGTGACGGACACGCGCACCAGCGCGCAGCTCTGCGCAAGCCACTCTTCGGCGAACTCGAACTCGCACTCGCGAAACAGGCCCTCGAGCTTCAGCAGCAGGTGGTCGATCTCGAACTTCAGCTGCGCCGGCGAGTGAATCGCCCTGCGCATCTGCAGCTGTCCGTTCCTGTAGCAGAGCAAGGGGTACGCGCGCTGCTGCCAGTGCAGCGTGATGCCCTTCGCAGTACACTCGCAGCGGCCGCTCAACACGGCCTGGAAAGCACGGTCGATTTTCAGCTCGAACGCACGGCACACCACCACGCGCAACAAGTCCTCGACGTACAGCGTGACGATGGCGAACTCTTCGACGAGGCGCAGCTCGTGCTTCCGCTCCGCCGTCCAGCGTACCGAGAACTGCAAATCGAATCCGCCGCTCAATTCGAGCGCCACCGCTGCTTCTCGGCCGAAAACGTGGGCCGGCGCGTAGTACACTATGTTTTTGCCGTACACCACGCCGACCAGAGCCGACCCGTTTAGCGTGCATATTGACGAGGGCACGAAGCAGCATATCTGCAGCGGACTCGCCAGCGTCAGGCAGCGGCACCGTTCGTTGAAGTGCAGCAGCTTTTGGTAGCTCGCGTTGCTGTAGACGCGCGGCGCGGGCGGAACGCGCCGGTCCACGGTTCTGCGCAGCAACTCGCGCAACCGTGGTTTTGCGTGCGCGCCGCCGAGTGCGCGCGGTGAAGCGACGCTAGTTGAGTCTGGCGGCGTCTCGCGAGCCGCGAGCGTGATGTACAGAATGTTCAACAGCAAGTCGTACAGCGCCACGGCTTCGGTAACGAGCTCCGCTGTCTCGCCGTGCCGAATGTGCTGCACCGGCCCGCGCGCCACCACCTGCTCGCGCGACCGGAGTGCTAACAGTTTCCACGTAAACCCTGACCGATTGTAGATCCGGAGCGGGCCACTCTTCGTCGTCGCGACCTCCTTTAGGTCCGTTTTGCGCCGGCGCTCTTCTTGCGCAGACTGCTCGCTGAACAGCCATTCGTAGAACGCGCGCATGTCCGTGAACAGATTCAGCGGCACCTTCACAAAGCAGCGGTCGTTCAGCGACACGCGGAGGCTGAACAAGTTCGAAAAATTTTCGACGCGCACGTCTAGCGACGGCACGGTGCAGTGCAGAAAGCGATCGAAGTGCACGTTCAGAAAGGTCTTGCAGCGGAAGCGCTGGCTGATGTAGTGCAGGCGCGCGACGGCCGGCGCGTCGCTCGAGTTGCGACTCAGGAAGCACGTCTTGCTGAGCGTCGGCATGCCGCTGCGCGCAGCGGTGCAGCGGCGCGACCGCTCGTTCACTGCGCCCAGCCCAAAGCTCGCCTGCAAGTTAAACAGCAGCGCAGATTCTGGGTAGTTGTCGAGCGTGACGCGCAGTTGCCCAAGCTTCACACTGCCCAGAATGACGCTGTCGTCAAAGCGGCTCAAAAATCGGCTCGCGTTGTGCAGCGCTTGCGCCGACCGCTCGGAGCTGCGCTCTCCTAGGTAAACCGTGCTTCGCAGACTGTACGGCTCGAGCTGCGACTCGCCCCCCTGCGGCTCGCTTCGTTCCACAAACACGCGCGTCATCGCCTTCAGCGACGACAGCAAAAAGTTGCTCATGCGCTGCGACAGCACGACGTTCTGCTGCGCAGTCTGCACGCGCACAACGTAGTATTCGCTGTAAATCTTGAACCTGTCCACCTTCTGCGCCCCGTCGGTGCGAGTCAGCACGTGAAGGAACGGTTGTGCACTGCG